GTGCTCTTTTTCAAAACCACAGCTCAAAGGCATCAATTTTTCTTCTGTCAACTCTATTCATTGTCCAGCTCTCAGATCCACAGCAAGTGACTGAACTGATTCACGGCCTGAATCAGATGCACTTTAGTCCTCAAACTAACATCATTGTTCCTCAGTAATTTGGACAGGTTCCTGACTGAAGACTTTCTCTTCTTTTTTGGCAATAAAAATAGTATTTTAGTCCACCTCTTCCCACTCTCCCTCCTGGTACACTTTTCCCCTTTCGCTCCCACAGCAACATTACAATCAGAAAAAAATAAGTTTCAGGGGGCGGGATTTGGGGGAGAGAATAGCGGTAAAAACAATCAAGCAACAACAGGAATTTTCAAAATAGGTTATTCTGCTTAGTCCACCTCTTCTCCCTCTCCCTCCTGGTACACTTTTCCCCTTTCGCTCCCACAGCAACATTACAATCAGAAAAAAATAAGTTTCAGGGGGCGGGATTTGGGGGAGAGAATAGCGGTAAAAACAGTCAAGCAACAACAGGAATTTTCAAAATAGGTTATTCTGCTTAGTCGTCATCTTCTCCCTCTTCGTCAGGCTCTAGTTTTCGCTTCTGACCGTTTTCTTCTTCTCCAAGATCTTCTTCATCTTCCTCGTCATCGACGTCTTCGTCATTATAATCTTCTTCATCTTCCTCCTCCTCTCTGCTCACATCCTCCTCTTCACCTTCCTCCTCTTTCTCCTCCTCCTCCTCGTCTTCCACTACCTGAGCATCTTCATTACCTTATTCCTCATCCTCCTCGTCATCCAGGCCCTCCATGTAGCCCTCAGCATCCGAGTCAGATGTTTCCTTGACATCCCAGTCGTAGCCATCAAGGTATGTGAGTTGTGGGAGGAGCTTGAACACGTTTTTCTGATAGTTGTTCAGAATCTCAGGGGCTCTGGAAGTCTTAGCAGAAAAGTCTCCAAACCTCACACATCTAAATTTAAGTGGCAACAAAATTAAAGACCTCAGCACAATAGAGCCACTGAAAAAGATAGAAAACCTCAAGAGCTTAGACCTTTTCAATTGTGAGGTAACCAGCCTGAACCACTGAAGACTTTCAATGCAATACATCTCCTCATCTCCTGAACTCTAGAATGAAAGCTGCTAGTTGTGGGGGATCCAAGTGAGAGGAAATCATTGCCAACTTCAATCTTTTCTCCATTTATTGTGATGTTGATTATTGGTCCAGTGGTGGGGATTTTTCCTTTCTTGATATTGATATGTAATCACCATTGAAAATTGCAGACTCTGATCTCCTACAACAAGTGCTTCAATTCCTGAGGCTGGGCCTAACAATCTGCATAATACAGGTTGACTAGTCCACCTCCTATCTTGATGCCTGCTCTTTTTCATATAGTCCAGCTTCTCAAATAATTTGATCAGCATACAGATTGAATAGCTATGGAGAGAAGACATAACCCTGACCTTTCTTAATTTTATACCACATTACATTATAAGAAGATGTGCTGCAATCTCAAAGGCATGAGGTTTGAAACCACCAGTTGTGTGTCAGGAAATGTGAGGATTACACAGGGTTCAGATCTTTTGTTCACAGGATCGCTATGAATTGTACCTGACTCAATGGCACCTAAGAACAACAACAACAAAAACTACAGTTGTCTTTGAGTTTTGGTGCTAGAGAAGCATATTGAACATACCATGGGCTTCTAACAGAACAAACATGTCAGTCCTTGAAAGGGTAAAACCAAGTTGCTCTCTGGAGGCAAAGATTTTGAAACTCTGTCTAACATACTTTGGGCATGTTGCTTTTAGGGATCAGTCCTTGGAGAAGGACATAATACTTGGAAGGGGAGAGGAACAATGCAGGAGAGGAAGATCCTGGATGAGATTAACTGACACAGTGACTGTGGTCATATGGTTTGGTTTATCAGAGACAGTGAGATTGGCCCAGGGTAGGACAGAGTTCAGAGCTATTGTATGTAAGATCACTGAAGTATGTAAGGTGACTAATGGCACATAACAACAACAGCATTGTAAATGGTATAGCTTTCTTGGTTTCTTTCTCTATGTTTTCTTTGCTACTGTAAAGGAATTCACTGAATTTTATACATTAATCCTGTATTCTGTCATTCTACTAAATTGGCCTGAGAACCAGAAAAAAAAATATTGATATGTAGTTACTTGAAGAGCTATGGAAAAAGAAGTACATGATAGAAGACACAATGAAAGTCACTACGAGACAGGGAGTCAGAAGAAATATATCAGTGAGTAGGAACTTGAACAACCATGGAATGGAATGCAAAAGATGGAAGAAAGAACTGAAACGATAGATAAAAAAAGTGCAAGGACTTTAAAATATCCTTACAAGACAGAGAGAGTATAACCATGACAGTACTAAAAATAACATAAATGCATGAAAACAATCAAGAATAGTAATACTGTAATGGTAGAAGTGTCTAACACGCTAGAAGGACCAAAATGTAGTAGAAGAGATGGAGTAGAAAGTCAGTGAGCTGGAAGACAAGAACCTCAATGGAAAAATCCTGGAAGAAAAAACAAAGATGAGATGTAAAGAAAATTAAAATATTAGAATCAAGTAGGATGACATAAAAAGGACAACATAACATATAATTGTAATTCCAGAACATGAAAGGGGCAGGGAAATCATTGTAAAAATTGTAGAAGAAGTATAAGAAGAAAACTTCCCAAGTATTAGAAAGAACCAAGAAATCCATATTCAAGAAGCTCAGCAAATACCAAATGTACTAGACAAGAAAAGAAAAATATCAAGACATGGTGTTATTATGTGCCATATAGATACAATAGTTCTGAACTCTATCCTGAGCCTGTATCATTGTCCCTAACACACCTAACCCCATTTTCTCAGTTACTGTGTCAGTCTGTCTCATGCAGGGTCTTCTTCTCCTGCACTGTTGCTCCATCCTTCCAAGCATAATGTCCTTCTCTAGGACTGGACACTTCTGGCCACATGATCCAAGTACATGAGACAGAGCTTCCTAGCCTCTGAGGAGATACATGGTTTAACCCTCTCCAAGACAGACTCATTTGTCTTCTTGGTGGTCTGTGTTCAAGACTCTTCTAAAGCATCACAACTCAAAGTCATAATAAATAATTATGAAGTTTGTGGCCTGGATCAGGCATACCTTAGTCTGGAAATAGACATTGTTGCTGCTTCTCAGTACTCTGGAGAAGTCCCTGATGTCACATTTTCCCATTTAAATTTTTCTTTTGATTTCCTGTGTGCTGGTACCAAGAGTGTTGATTGTGGAGCCAAGAAAGTTGTAACTGTTAACAGACTCAATCTCTTCTCCATCTATCATGGTGCTGCCAATTGGCCTAGTGGTGAGGATCTTTGTCTTTTTGATGTTGAGCTTCAATCCACATTGACGACTACAGTCATTGACCTTCTTCAGCAAGCGCTTCAGTTCCTCCTCAGTTTCAGCAACCAAATTGTGTCATCTGCTTAAAGTAGGTTGTGCTACATTCCTTCTTATAGAGCCAAGCCTCCTGAATGATTTGCTCTACATATAAATTGAAAAGTTTTGGAGACATGCTGAATCCTTGGCACACTTCTTTCCTGATCTTGAACCATGTAGTGTTTCCTTACTCTTTTCTGAGAGCTTTTCCCAAATCTCAGTATAGTTTTCACAAAAGCACAATCAAGTGTTCTAATATTCCCATTTTCCTCAAGGTTAGCCACAACTTGTTTTGATCCACACAGTTAAATGCCTTTTCATAGTCAATGAAATATGATAGATATTCCTCTGGTACTCTTTTCTTTCTGCCAAGATCCATCTGACATTCATGATAATATCTCTAGGGCCATAGCCTCTTCTAAACCCAGCTTGTATTTCTGGTAGTTCTGTGTCAATGTACTGTTCCAGTAATTTTTTAATAATCTTCAGCAAGATTTTGCTTGCATGTGATATTAGTTATATTGTTTGATAATTTTCACACTCTCTTGGACCATCTTTTTTTGGAATGGGAATAAATATGGATCTCTTCCAGTCAGTTGGGGCCAGGTAGTTGTCCTACAGAGTTCTTGGCACAACCTGGTGAGCATGTCCAGGGCAGCACCTGCTTGTTTAAATGTGTAAGTTGGTATTCCATCAGTTCCTGAGGCCTTATTTGTGCCAAGTCCTTCGGAATAGCCTCATTCAAGACATAACATAGTCTAATTCTCTTAAATAAAAGATAAGTCTAGAATGCTAAATGTAATGCAAGAAAAACAGGGTCACCTACAGAGGAAAAAAAATTAGATTAAGTTCTGATTTCTCAGCAGAAACCATGAAAGCAAAAAGACAGTGGAATGTCATATACAGAAAGTTGAAAGAAAACAATTGCCAGCCAAGGATCATTTACCCAAAGTTGTCTATCAAATATGAAGGAGAAAGTCCTTTTCAAAAAAATAAAGAACTCAAGGAATTTGTGAAAACAAGATTCTATTTCTGGCCTTATTTCTCTTACCAAGTCCATACTCTCTGATTATAATTCCTTCTACATTGCTCCTAGCTTTTGCATGCCAGTCACCAATTATCATTAACACATGATGATCACATGTTTGATCAATTTTGGACTGCAAAATTTGGTAAAAAATTTCAATTTCCTCCTCTATGGTTTTAGCTGTTGGTACTTATATATAAATAATAGTTGTATTAACAGGTCTTTCTTGCATGCATATCATTAGTACTCTATCACTCACAACATTGTATTTTAGAAACTTGTTTGCCTCTGGAAACTTGCTCTATATGGTCAGCTATGAATCAGTTCTGACTTGACAGTGCATAACGACAACAATAGTGGGGGTGGGGGAGGAAAGAGATTCTTACAAAAGAATACATATGCAAGAAAACCAGTCATTTGAATCAGCATTAGAAATTGTGTCATTATACGTAGCAGTTGCACTTGAAACAAAAATTACAACAATGATAGAGAAATGCATATGATGTGGTGAATCTTAGGTCAACACTGTGTTTCTCTTACATGACAGGCACTTCAGGATGCCTTGAAGATTGAGGGTGCAACATTTTCTGAGAACTATTTGGGGAAGTCACAAATGAAGTGCTGTCATGAGGAGATGAAAACACAAATGGAAGTTCTAAAACACCAGGTGAGAAACAGGAAGTAGCGTGAGCTTATAGAAAACCTGGGGTTCAATGTTCATGTTTCTTTGGCCATTCTTTAATGTCTTACTTCTCAACATGTGTCAAAGTTTCTTGCATTTGTTTCAGTAAGAATTGTCTAATTTTAAAGTTTGATGAGAAACTACAGATTATCAGATACAATTCCTATATTATGTTGTTGTTGTTATGTGTCGTCGAGTCATTTGCGACTCATAGCAACCCTATGTACAACAGCCCTAAACCCTGCTCTATCCTGTGCCAATCACACTGCCTCAGACACACCCATCCCAATTACCCCAGTCACTGAATCAATCCATCTCATAGAGGGTCTTCCCCTCTTGCGCCATCCCTCCATCCTCCCAAGCATGATATCCCCCTCCAAGGACCTGTCCCTCCTGGCTACATGTCCAAAGTATGTCAGATGAAGCCCCAGAATCCTTGCCTCCAAGGAGGTGCTTGGTTTAACCCTCTCCGGGATGAATCTGTCTGTTTTCTTGGCAGTCCATGGTACATTCAATACTCTTCTCCAGCACCACAGCTCAAAGACATCAATTCTCCTTCTATCCTGCCTAGTCATTGTCCAACTGTCTGATGCATAACAAGTGATTGCAGAGACCATGGCCTGTATCAGGCACACCTTAGTCTCCAGAGAGACACTGTTGCTCCTGAGTACTTTAGAGAGGTCCCTAACAGCAGACTTTCCCATCGCATTACGTTTTTTAATTTCCTGGCTAATGGTGCCAAGAGTGTTGACTGTGGAGCCGAGCAAACTGAAGCTGTGAACAATTTCAATCTCTTCACCACCCATCCTGATGCTACCAATTGGTCCAGTGGTGAGAATCTTTGTCTTCTTGACATTGAGCCTCAGTCCATACTGAAGGCTGCAGTCCTTGACCCTCTGCAGCAAGTGCATGAGGTCCTCCTCAGTTTCAGCAAGCAGGGTTGTGTCATCTGCATAACGCAGATTGTTAATAGATCTTCCACCAATCCTGATGCCACAATTCTCCTCACAGAGCCCATCCTCCCGGATAATCTGCTCTGCATACAGATTGAAAAAGTATGGAGACAGGACATATCCCTGGTGTACACCCGTCCAAATTTTGAACCATGCCTATATCATAGAAGAGGATATTAAGGTTAACATCTCCTCCCATGTGATTATTGCCTCTGAAAGCCCACTGGAGGGTCAGCTACTGGTCAGTTCAGACTCAGTGGCAATGGGTGAGTGAGTGAGCTGACATAGAGAGAGTTTGTGGTGGCAAATCTGGGCTTAGTATTTTATCAACTTTATCTTAATAATCCAAGGAGCCTTGGTAGATCAGTTGTTAAACACCTAGTTTCTAACTGAAAGGTCAGTGGTTCAAAATACGTCACAATAAAGATGTGGCGGTCTACCTCTGTAAAGATTTACAGCCTTGGAAACCACCTGGAGCAGTTAGTGTCACTCTTTAATATAGGGTCACTGTGGGTCAGAATTAATTCGATGGCAATGGGTTTAAAAAAAAAGTCTGAATAATATGCTTAATTAGATTTCCAATTAAATATATAGCTTAATAATAAATCCATGAAAAGAATCAATGTAATATTCAGAGTTTTAAAGCCTGGCCAAATTCTCAACCCCTGAAGCACTAGAAATTCTAGCCAGAATTTCTGTTAAAAAAACACATCTGTACTCAGACACTTGAGTCATCTTCTATGTTCTCATATAATGCAGACCACATGCAAAAGAGTCACACATGGAGTCAAGAGCCATGGTTTAGCTCATGTTTGATACAGACAGTGACAGGCATTATCTTTCTCATAATCCCTTGTGGGTAGGCCAGAATCTAACTCCTTAGTTTTGTCTGGCTATATCTCTAATTTTTCTGTGTACTCATGTTAAGTTCCATCAGTAACCAAGTTCCAAATGAAACTCTGTAAGATTTAAATTCCAAACAAACTGAGCTACACTCTTGGCCCTCACCTGACTAAAAGAGTACTTGGTCATCGTGTCGTGTTTGAGAAAGAGTCCTCTGTTCTGACTGGATGGGCTTCTTCCACTTAAAATGCCTCTGAAAATTCTTACAGATTACTTGAAGTATGTCTGGAATTGAACATCAGCTATCAATCCAAATGGCAGCTTGACTAGGTATAGTTTCTTTGCAATGCTTTTTATAAATAAAGCCCTAAAAACAAAATATGTGCATCTAAATCTGTATCAAAATGTTGAATTTCCCTCTTGTCTTTCCTACATTTTGTCCTGTTACCTGTAATATAAAGTTGATACAGGTTGTTTCTACTTTTGATGACTGCTTTACTTTCTTGATTCTATTAACAGAAATAATTTCTATACATGTCATCAAAGAACACTGATTTATTTTCTCACAGTTCAGAAGTCCAGAAGTAAAAATTCAGGTGCCAGCTCTAGCAGATTTTCTATTTCAAAACCTTTTCTGTTGGCTCTGGAGGAAAGTCTGAAGTTTTTCAGCTTCTGTTCTTCACTGCCTAGGCACCCTTTATGCAACATGGCATCTGTCTTCCCCTTCCTTCATCTATGCTTTCTTGTTGCTGTACTTAATCTGACCTTTTAAATCTCAAAAGTGTGGTTTAAAACACTTTCTTCAGGTGTGCTATCATTAACATAGCAAACTGTCCATGGATGTAAAAAGAAGATGGCCATCTCTGACCTTTCACGTCATTGCCATCAAGTCATAGCTGATCCTCTAGTGGTTTGGGAAGACTGGAAACCTTGTGAAGTTGATAATGGATTTGAACCCCCAGAGAGGACCCTCCTCTGGGTTAGCAGCACAACTACGTACGGACTAGGCAACCAGAGTTCCAAACCTCTTTTCGAAGTTTAATTTCTTTTCATACCTTAACATGTTATTCTCCAAGTCATCAGTTGACATAATGTGAATTAAAAACACCAAGAATTAATTTTTATTTTCTTTTTAGCTTAGTAACTGTTTAGGAGCACTCGGAGTGACTCTAAAGTAATGTTCCACAAAAATATTACCATACTTTCTTTTTCAAATCAACTCCCACAATTTCTCATAAAGGAAAACCTATTAACAATTCCTCATAAAGGAATATACATCAGCCTTTCATTTCTATTTTTGTACTTAACTTCTAATTCATATTTGGACACTCCAGCATATCAATATCCAATGGTTTAATTTAAAAGTTATTGTCAGTAAACCATCTTTTAAGATTTCAAACAGTGTTCATACATCAAAACTTGTATTGTAGATGGATGACTTGCTCCAAGACAGTGAGCTTTAGCAGTAGGCAGAGGGGTCCTAACAGTAATGGGCTGTGCAACACAATAATGGGAAAGAGGGATTGTTTTCATAATATACACATCGTCATTTTGATTCTGAGTCTTGACACATGCCCAGAGAGAAAAAGATTGAGAACCACTGCTCTGCATAAAGTAGAAGACATAATCAAAGTCTTATGTATCAGCATGGATTCCTACCATGAATCAATATTGATAAAAAAGGTAAAATGTTTCTAATTAGAAAGGTCTTGATACCATCTATTCCGAAATCATTTAACAATAGCTTAAGAGAACGAGAAAGGGAGCTCTGGCTGCCTAGTTGGCAGGGAGATGCACTGCCAACTCAAAGGTGGGCAGTTCAAATCTATGAGCTATTTCACAGGCCCCACTAGAGGGTCAGCTCTGACTCAATCCAAACTTGAGAGGATTTAATTTGAGTTTCAGTTTAAGAAAAATGGGAAGTAAAAGTAATCCCTCACTGGTATTTCATAGGTACAAATATATGAAGAAGACTTCAAAAAGGAGCGATCAGACCGAGAAAGACTCAACCAAGAGAAAGAGGAGCTGCAGCAAATTAATCAGACATCTCAATTCCAGTTGAACAGGCTGAATAATCAGGTAGGAGTTAAAATAATTTTTGACAAGCCATGTGTTTATTTTTATTTTATAATTTTAAAATTCCAGGGATTTTGGCTTCCTTTTATTGATATTACATTTCTTGAAGGATCAGCACCTGGAATGAAAACATTCATAAACAATGTTTTAAGGACTTGAAAAATTATTGGAAGAGTCTTTCAACTTAATTACATTAAGGAGTTACCCAAGAAATTAAATTCCAAGGTCTCCTATGAAATCTAGTCCTTTTAATTTTTTTTCTCATAATATTTATCTTGGTAGAATGGGATTTAAACCACATAGTACTTAAATTCAAATTCAAAACACTCCAATACAATGAAGTGACTTTTAAATTCCTATTATTATCTTGGAAGAACTGTGTAGGAATGCTTCTATCTTCCAAAAATGTATGTATTTTAAATGTGATGTATATTTGACACAATCTTGCTTGCCAAAACTGAGGAGAGCCTGAGCATTTTGCTGCCGAAGGTCAAGGACTGCAGCCCTAAATATGGATTGAAGCTTAACATCAAGAAAACAAAAATTCTCACCACTAGGCAAAGTGGCAGCATCATAATAGACAGGAAAGCAATTGAGATTGTTAACACTTTAGCCTACTTGGCACTACTATCAACACTCTTGGTATCAGCAGCCAGGAAAAGACAAATTACACTAGGTAAATCTGCTGTCAAGGATCTCTCCTTGAGAGTACTGACTCCTTCAGAGTACTAAAGAGTAATGATGACAGTCTAGAGACTAAGGTGCACCTGATCCCTGCCATGGTCTTGACAATTACTTGCTATGCATCAAAGACTGGAAAATGACTAAAGATTATAGAAGAAGAATCAATGCTTTTGTATTGTGGTGCTGAGGCACAGTATTGAATATGCCAAGAGAATGAACAGATCCATCCTAGAGAGGATGAAACCAGGCTGCTCCTTGGAAGCAAAGATTTTGAAGCTCCATGTGATATACTTTGGTCATGTTGCAAGGAGTGACCAGCACTTGGAAAAGGCCTCATGTTTGGAAGGATGGAGAGACAGAGCAAGAGAGGAAAACCCTGGATGAGATGGACTGATGATACAGTGACTACAGTAAAGGGGCTAAATGTGTCAGAGACAATGATATTTGCTTAGTATAGAGCAGAGGTCAAGGCTATTATACATAGGGTCAATATGAGTCAGAGTCAACTCGATGACACATACAACAACATCATATTTCTACTGAAATAAAAAATTTCAAGCAGTGACTTGACAGTAACTATCAACTATCTACCAAGAACTGAAGGGCACCCAGGAAAGAAAACCAGACAAAGTTAACCAGTTAATCAAAATGTTGCTGTTGTTAGATGTTATCTCACCAGAATGTTGTTGTTATGTGCAGTCAAGTCCCTTGCGACTCAGAGCGACCCTATATACAACAGCCTTAAACCCTGCTCTGTCCTGTGTCAATCGCACTGTCTCCGATACATCCATCCCGAATACCCCAGTCACTGTATCGATCCACCTCATAGAGGGCCTTCCCCTCCTGCGCTGTCCCTCCACTCTACCTAGCATTATTTCCCTCTCCAAAAACTGGTCCCTCCTTTACAACAAGTCCAAAGTATGTCAGATAAAGCCTCAGGATCCTTGTTTCCAAGGACCAGCCTGGTTTAACCCTCTCTAGGATGGATCTGTTTGTTTTCTTAGCAGTCCATGGTACACTCAATACTATTCTCCAGCACCACAGCTCAAAGGCATCAATTCTCCTTCTATCCTCCCTAGTCATTGTCCAACTCTCGGTCGCATAACAAGTGATTGCAAAGACCATGGCTTGTATCAGATGCACTTTAGTCTCCAGAGAGAAACCATTGCTCTTCAGTACATTGGAGAGGTCCCTAATAGCAGACTTTCCCATCATAATAAATCTTTTAATTTTATGCATGCTGATGCCAAGAGTGTTGGCTGTGGAGCCAAACAGACTAAATCAATGAACAATCTCAATCTCTTCCCCATCCATCCTGATGCTGCCAATTGGTCCAGTGGTGAGAATCTTTGTCTTCTTGCTATTGAGTCTCAATCCATATTGAAGGCTGCAGTTCTTGACCCTCTGCAGCAAGTGCTTCATGTCCTCCTCAGTTTCAGCAAGCAGGGTTGTGTCATCTGCATAACGCAGATTGTTGATAGATCTTCCACCAATTCTGATGCCACATTTCTCCTCATAAAGCCCAGCCTCCCAGATAATCTGTTCTGCATACAGGTTGAAAAGGTATGGAGACAGGACACATCCCTGGCATACGCCCTTCCCAATTTTGAACCATGCAGTGTTCCCTTGCTCTGTTCTGACGACTGCCTCTTGGTTCAAGTATAGGTTTCGCATTAGCAAAATCAAGTGCTCTGGGATTCCCATTCTTCTCAGAGTTAGCCACAGTTTGTTATGATCCACACAGTCAAATGCCTTTGCACAATCAATGAAACACAGATAGACATTTCTCTGGTATTCTGTGCTTTCAGCTAAGATCCATCTACCAGAATATTTTAAATGCAAGTCTATTAAAATAAATTGTAATAGAGTACATTAAAAGTAATCTCAGAAATTTGGCACAACAAATAAATACTTAAGTTAATTGAAGGAAAAATTAACAAATACAGCTTTGGGTTAAGAAAATAAAATGAAACACAAAATTTTGGGTTGAGATGTTATGCAACTCTTTTCAACAAGTAGGATATTGTTGTGGTATATGTTGTGGCTGATTTGTAGCTCCAAGATTTCCAGTCTTAGGAGGGAACATAAACTGTTAGCCATCCTATTATTTCTATTAGAAAATAGAATGCAAATTCATTTGTTTTCTGACATCTTATCAAGAATTAACTAGAAGTTCATAATTTTACATGGAAAAACTCTTTAGCAGAAAGATTTCCTCGCTACGAAATCAGATGGAATATAATTGTGGCAAAATGTAATGACAATTTTCTGCACATAATCAATGCAAACTACTATATAACAATGGGTGAAAAAAATGGTCTATGTATGTTCTTGGTAAGTAAATTACTCCCAAATTTTATTTCATACACACAAAACCTTTGGAAGCAGGAGTGGCATCCACTTCCTAAATAACTTGCCTCCAGAAACTCTTTGAACTTTGATAAATGTAGATAGTTGTAGAGGAGCTTCAGGCCTTTTGTTCATGGGGTCACTATGAGTCGTGCTCAACTCAAAGGCAATCAACAAAAACAACAACAACAATGTAAAAGCTGTCCATTTTTTTAATTGCAACTGTAGAGATTGTTTCCTGCTGGATTTTATCATTCTAGCATCTCAACATCAAGCAAACAAAGATCCTCCCCATTAGTCCAATAAGAGGTCATGATAGATGTATAAATGATTAAAGTTATATATTACTTCATCTTTCTTATATCCACGATCAACACTCTTGGCATCAGCAGTCAGGAAATCAAAAGATTAATTGCATTAGGAAATCTGCTGTCAGGGACCTTTGTAAAGTGCTAAAGAGCAGTGATGTAAGTCTAGAGACTAAGGCGCACCTGATCCAGGCCATGGTCTTCACAATTACTTGATTTGCACCAGAGAGCTGGAAAATGACTAAGGATGACAAGAGAAGAATTAATGACTTTGAGTTGTATCTTTTGAGAAGAGTCTTGAACATACCCATTGACTTCCAAGGTCTGTCTTAAAGAGGTTGAAACCACTTTGCACTTTGGAGGCAAAGATTTTGAAGCTCTGTCTCACATACTTCAGACATGTTGCCACAAGGAAGTAGTCCTTGCAGAAGATCATGAAGCTTGGATGATAGAGGCTCAGCACAGAAGAGGAAGACCCTGGATAAGTTGGACACAGCCACTATGGCAATGGGATCGGGTATTTCAGAGATGGCTAGGTTGGCTCAAGATAGGGCAAGTTTCAGAGCCGTTGTTGATAGAGTCTCTACGAGTCATAGTCAACTCAACAGCACATAACACCAACAACAGTTTAAAGGAGCTCTGTTAGCCTAGTAGGTAAAGAATTGCACTGCCGACTCAAAGGCACAACAGTCTGATTCCACCGGCTGCTCTATAGGAGAAAGATGAGTAATCTCCTCCCATGTGATCTATGACTCTAAAAACTCACTGGAAAATTAGCTGTGAGTGGGTTCCAACTCAACAGCATATAACAACAAGAGCATTTCAAATGCAGACTGGGAATAAATTCGTGTTCATAATTAGCAATGTTCTTGCCATTACAGAAGTTTTCATTCAACCACCCACTTAAATTATAAAACTCGGCCAGGTTCTGATTGTGGAACAGACCACCAACTACTTAAGCTGAAGCTAAAGAAAATGAAATCAAATCCACAGGAGCCAAAATATGACCTTTAGTCTATCTCACCTGAATTTCAAAACCATCTCAGGAACAGGTTTGAGGCTTTCAACACTAAAGAGAAAAAAACAGATGAGTTATGGGAGGATATCAAGAATATCATCCAGGAAGAGTGCATAAGGCCATTACAAAGAGAGAGAAGGAAGAAAAGACCAAAATGAATGCCAAAAGAGACTGAATATTGAACTAGAGCACAGAGAAGCCGAAGCAGAGGGAAGAAATCAAGATATTAAGGAGATGAACAGGAGAGTTCAAAAGGCAGTGCAGGAAGACAAAGTGAAGTATTATAATGAAATGTGCAAAGAGCTGGAGTCAGAAAATCAAAGGGGAAAACTTGCTCAGCATTTCTTAAGCTCAAGGAACTGAAGAACAAATTCAAGCCTAAAGTTGCAATACTTAAGGATGCTTTGGGCAGAATATTAAATGATCCAGGAAGTCTTAAAAGAAGATGGAAAGAGTATACAGAGTCATTGCACCAAAAGGAATTGGCAGACACAGAAGAATTTCCTGGAAAAACATATGAGCAAGAGCCTGTGGTGATAAAGGAGGAAGTTCAAGCTGCTTTGAAAGAATTGGCAAAAAATAAGGCTACAGGAACTGATGACATACCAATTGACATATTTCAACTAACAGATGCTGCCCTGGAT